GTCCGGGGGAGGGAGGGGGTGGACGAGTCACCTACTTTACCTTCCCCAGTTTTTTTTCTGCCGCCTCAGATATTTCATCGGTTTATTCTCTGATTTTTTGGAGAAAGAGGGGATTATTTTTGAGGGGAGGACAGAGGGGCCCCCCTTCCCCCCCGTGGGTGGCGCCCCCCCGGTGGAGGGAGGGTCTTTTTTAGGCAGGGGGGGGGGGCCCCCCCTCCCCCCCGCCTGGAGGGAGGGGGGGGGGCTGGTATTTCTTCCAGGATTAAAAAAAAAGCCCCCGGGGAACCCCCCCCCCCTTGAGCGGGAGGGGGGGGTGGGGGGGGTTTCTGGGCAATAGCATGGCAGCTACGCTGGGCTTTGCAGCAGAAAATGCAGGTTGGCACGAAGGGCTCATGCTGCTGGAGGCCGGAAGGCAGCACATGAGGGGCAGTGGCGTGGCCCTGGTACAGCTCGGCTCTCCTGTCCCGGGCATTGAGGCCGGGTCCCCACACTCTTGTGCACATCAGAATCACCAGGCACTTGTCCCAAACCCAGGTTCCTGGGCCCCACCCCTACTATTCTGGCCCAGGATGTGGCAGGGGCCTGGGAATCTGCATTTGTGACAAGGGCCCCAGCTGACAGCTGCGGGTGGGCTGCAGGTCACACAAGCTCTGGAGCCAGACTGCCTGGTCAGAATCCTGTCTCCTCCACTGTCTACCTGTGCGACCTTAAGTAAGTGCTTAACCTCTCTGTGCCTCATTTCCTCATCTGGAAAATGGAGATGATCCTAATACCCACTGCACAGAGGTTTTACCAGAGTTAAGTCAGTATGTGTAATATGCCTACCACTAGGTAAGCACTCGATAGTCTATATTGTTATTAACTCATTTGGGCACGTGCTTCCAAACACACACAGACCAGATTTGCTGCTGAATATGGCACGGGAGGAACATGCACAGGGACAGGGGTGCCAAGGAAGGTGCATGTCAGCGGACGGAGCAGGAAGTGCTGGAAGGGGCGGGGAGGGACCTTGCCTTTCGGACCCCGCGGGCCATGGAGTGTGTGTGGGGGGACCGCAAGGACACGTTGAGCACGACCACAGCATTCACAACAATGAGGATGGTCACCACCAGGAGGAAGGTCAGGTACCTGCCGGGATGGGGTGGGGTGGGCAGGAGGCGGGGCTGGCCCTTCAGCACTGCATGCCCAGATGCCAACCCCACCCCTAGCGGCTGCTCCCCCATATCCCTTGGGTGAGGGGCTGGCATTGGGAGGGTGGCAGGAGGGCCGTGCCCAAGAAGGGAGGGGGAGGAGGTGGGCGGCAGGCGGGAGGACCAGCCTTACTTGCTGATGAGTGGCACTGCCTGGGAGGTCTCAGGCACCTTCTTAGCCACGAGGAAGAGGAAGACAGTCTGGGCCAGGAGCACGTTGATGGCAACGGTACACTTCTGGCCACCCGCTGGGGGTGACCAAGAGGCTCTCAGAGCAGGTCTCTGTCTCCCTGCTGTGGGGCACTCCCCCCGCCCCACAAGGAGCTCACTGCCCTAGTCCTGGGTCGTGGTGCCACTCTTTGCCCTGCCAGATGTCCCCACTGGCCCGGGCCAATCCCACCCCCCCCCCCCGCCCCCAAAGGCTCCAGGTACCCTTGGCAGGAAGGAAGTAGATGAGGATGGCGACGGAGGAGATGAGTACACAGGGTGCGATGATGTTGATGACGTAGAAGAGGGGCTTGCGCTGGATGAGCAGGTAGAAGACCACCTTCTGGTGGCCCGCCTCCTCTGCCGGGGCCGCAGCGTCCAGGAACATCTTGGCCGGCCGATGCCGGATGGCCCACTCTCCGTTCTCTGTGGGTGGCAGGCCGGGTGGGCACAGCCGTGGGCTGGGCGGACCCCTGCAGCCCTCTCGTGCCCGTAGAATTGCCATCGAGGGACAGAAACAGTGAGGGAAATCGGACACTTAATCCCCCTCCCTCCAAAATGGGAGTCATTATCATGAGGAAAATCAGAACTTTGTAGGCCTTTAAAAACCCATTTCATGGTTCGCTTAGTTTTCATCTTGAGCTGCATGGGAGGGGCTTGATCCTGGCCCAGCCTCATCCCCACAGCCAGGTCCAGCAGGGGCCCTGGTGGAGTCACCTGTGAAGGCCTCGGGGTCGATGAAAATCCACTCGATGGTCTGACCATCTTCCTGGCTCAGCTGCAAATTGATCTCATTGGTGCTGTAGGTCTGGGACCTGGGGGGCGGGGAGGGAGGCAAGGTGAAGCTGGGTGTGTACAGACCCAGCTGTGAGGTATACGGTATAGTCATCTGTGGGCAGTTTTGCCTCAAAAAGTGCAGCCAGCCCTGGCTGGTGTGGCTCAGTTGGTTGGAGTGTCATCTCATATACGGAAAAGTTGTGTGTTTGATTCCTGATTGGGGCACATACCTGGGTTGCAGGTTCGATCCCTGATCTGGGCACATACAGAAGGCAACTAATCAATGTCCTCTCTCACATCAGTGCTTCCCTCCCTCCCGCCTTCCCTCTCCCTCTCCCTCCCTTCCTCCCTCCCTCCCGCCTTCCCTCCCTTCCCTCTCTCTAAAGGTCAATAAGCATATCCTCAGGTGAGGATAAAAAAGAAAAAGTGCAGTCAATAATCTCTGAGTTCTCCACAAAACCCTGGCAACAAGATGAGGGGCCCTGGGGCTCTTTGGGGCCCTGGAGAAGCCTGAGTTGAAGGGACAGGAGGCTGCGGCTTAGTGAGGTCGCCTGGTGTCCAAGGGCCCCGGGTTACTGTGTTCTGCTCCTCCACTGCCTCCTGGGCAGAAGGTGCCAAAGGGCAGAACAGAGAAAACCCCGTCCATCCCTGTCTGGTCTGTTTACTGAGGAGGGTCTCCCTGCAGGGTCTTCCTGTGGAAAGACTGCTCCTCTAAACTACAGGAGACCGTCCCCCAGACCCCCTCCTGCATGCACAGATGAGAAAATTGAGGCAGCCCCACCTCTCCCCTGGGCTGTCGGGCGTAATGGTCTTGCAAGTGGTGGCACATGTGTGTGCATCATGTATGTTGTAGCATGTGTATGCCTTCTCACCCACCCATGCCAGACATTCATTTCTCCCCTTGGGGCACAGGAGGGGAAACTGAGGCAGTGCAGGAGGATGAAGGAGGGGCCTGGGGGCTTAGCAGGGAGGGACATAGGTGTCTGGATCTTAATGTGCACAGAGCCCCAGAGAGATGGAGCCAGACCCCTGGCCAGAAGCCTCATGTCCCCCTTCTGGCCAGGGCCCCTCTTAGGGAAGCTCCCTAAGGCCCCCCCTTGCCCCAATAAATGGCCTCACTGGAAGATGAGGGAGCAGTTCTGCCAGTCGAAGGGGAAGTAGGTGACAGAGACGGGGCAGGAGGAGCGGAAGATGGCAGGCGGTAGCCAGTAGACGCAGCCGTCAGGCGACACGAGCACGTTGCAGTAGAGGGCCACCTCGAACACGCCGTCCACGCTGTGGGCAGGCCAGGCCACGGGGCTGCTGAGACCCGCACCCGGCGCCATCCCTCTGCCTGGGGACACCAACCCCTCCTGGGGGCCACACCCTGCCTGGTCCCCACCTGGCCACAGGAACCACCACCTTCCCTAGCATCTCCCTGCCACCCCCACCCGCCCAGGCTCCCCAGGCCCCCCATCCCATCACTGCCACTTCTCCCGCTCTCTTCCTCAGTGGTCATGGTAGCCACTAACATCTGTTCATCTCCTGCAAGGAGCCAGGATTGAGTACAGCGCTTTTCCCGTCTGGTTGGCGCTCGACAGCTTCCACAGGAGCCGTCCTTGTCCCCAAGTTAGAGGGGCGGGAGTGGCCCAGCAGTGATGGAGCCAGTTCTGCCAGCAGCTCCGGCTGGGCTGGGACCCCGCACCTGCTCTGTCTAGTGGTCTGTGCCTCTGCAGGCCCCTAGTCTGCATCCTCTGTCACCTCTTTCTTCCCAGACCCCCCTTGTCCTGCTAGGCCGGTTCTTGTGTCCTTTGTCCCCCAACCCTAGCCCACGTCCCCTCCTCACTTGTTCTCCAGCACGACATCTGGCCGCCACACCATGGTGGACGGCACCCTCAGCACCCACAGGCCTTCGTAGTCCTGCGGGTCCCAGCGAAGGCGATAGTCGCACCACTGCTGCAGGGAGAGGGGGGTTTGCCAGGCCCTGCTGTCTGTTGTGCCACACCCCCAGGAACAGGAGCCCAGCCCAGCGGGCACAGAAGAGGCAGGGAAGGGAGGAGGGCAGCTCTGAGGGCCTTGGGGCCCCATAGTGGGGGGCCCTGCAAGAGGAAAGAGGGTGAGAGGTGATCTCTTACCATCTCTATCCAGACATTGGTGGTGAGGGCCTCCTCTCGCTCATTCTGGGGGTACAGACCGAGATATAAGCCCCCAACAATTGTCCTCCCCAGATACTTGTCCCTACAGGCCATTGTTGGGTCCCCCAAGGACCCCAGCCTCTTGGGCAGTCTCCATGGGAGTGTTCTAGCACCTTCCTCTCCCTAGCAGGTCCCTGGTCCCTCCTCCCTGTCACCCTACAGCCCGTGGCTCACCAGGGAGATGAGGTTGGTGAGGGTGAGCTTCAGGCTGACGTTGACCACGTCCGCATCCCGCTCAGCAGGCCGCAGGTGGGGGTTGTAGCTGTGCATCAGGTCGGCCAGCAGACGCTCCTCCTGGTTCCGGCCCTGGGCTCCTGAAACAGACAGCGGTAAGCCTGGGCGCAGGAACTTTGGGGCAGAAAGAGGGGGAGGCCATGAGAGGATGTGACATGGAAAGGCAGAGAGCTGGGTTGGGGGCAGGCGCCAATAGCCCTCCAGTCCCTCCGTCTCCTGAGGCCTTGGTCCCCTGCTCCGGTCTTCCCCAGGCCCCAAGCCCCTGTGTCCACACCCAGGCAGATAGCCAGCAGTGGCAGGAGGAACAGCTGCCCCTGACCCCCGTGCATGGTGGCACAGCTCTCCGAGGGGATAGGAGTGGGATGGCAGCTCCCCAGGTCTGAGGCCGAGAGATGCAGACGCTGGTCTCATGTAACAGCCCACACTCCCACCCCAGTCAGCCCGGCCAGGCTGGCCCAGCCCCACAGCTGTCTGACCACAGCACTGTCAGCTGTTCTAGGATGGACAAAATGCCAGGCTCGGGTTACCTGGGCTGGGGAGGGGACAGAGGGGCCCGTCTGTCCCAACAGAGATGGTCCAGCCTCCATCCCCCCTCAGGCTCAGTTGTCCCAGATTCATGTCCAGCGGGGGAGTCGAGGATGCAGCCAGGGCCTCGTGGGTGTGGGAGAGAAGGCAGAGTGCTTAGGAAGAGTTCCTGCTCCTGCTCCCTCCAGCATGTCAGGATTTGGGGAAGTGTGAAGACTTTTGGTTAGGCATGTTTTGTACCCGACTTTCTCTATGACATGGCTGAGGACCCCAAACCTCTCCCACCAGCCTGACATCTTAATGGATCACTCCACTGGCCAAGACACCAGAAGGCACAACGCCTACAAGAAAGATGCATGATGTGCACCAGGCTCTGACACCTTAACACAAATCAGGGTGTCAGATCAGGATCTTTCCTGTCTCTGAGGCATGGGTCCCAGCCTGGTAAGCTTTGTAGGAAGGAGGGCTGAGAAAGATCTGAAACTTGGGGCTCTTATGAATAGTACAGCCCTTGAATAGGGGTTCCTCAGTATTTATTAAATCATCTGTAGACTTATGGTAGGCACAGCTCTAGGCTTGGGGGACTCGGGATACATGGGAGCTGTTCGCAGAAGCTCACAGTCCATGGGACAAGAAGTTGTGGCCCCTGAGAGTCGGATAAGGGAACCTAAAAGGACTGGAAAAGAAGCTCCATCCACTTGATGGTTTGTGGTCGCGGGAAGGGTGGGGCGAAGCTGATCTGGAAGCCGATGGCTGTGACACAGGCTCAGGCCACCTGTCTTCTGACCATCTATTCCAAGCAGACAGGTCAGCGTGTCCCCCTTCATGGGCAAGGCAGAAAATTCAGTTTCCCGTTCATGCCACCCACCCTTCAGTATCTTAGGGGCAGGGTGGCAGATGCCTCAGGTCTGGAGGAAAGCACCATTTGAGAACATGTCCCCACCTCACAAATGAATGATGTCTGTGGCTTTTCTTTTTTAAAAAATATTTTTTTATTGGTTTCAGAGAGTAAGGGAGAGGGAGAGAGAGAAACATCAATGATGAGAGAGAACCATCGATTGGCTGCCTCCTGCACGCCCCATTCTGGGGATTGAGCCCACAACCCAGGCATGCGCCCTTGACTGGAATTGAACCCGGGACCCTTCAGTCCGCAGGCCGGCGCTCTATCCACTGAGCCAAACCAGGTAGGGCTGTCTGTGGCTTTTCAATGTGTGTCAGTAAACCGGAAGTCATGTGACATGCCCTGTCCTTGGCGATCCAAGTGAGAGGTTGGCTCAGATCCCAGCCCCTGTAGCAGGGCCACAGCTCCTCCTGCCCTCACAAGGACTTGGAGGAGGGGAGGCGGTAGTGGTAGCAGCTGCCTCCCTGGACATCTGCTTGTTCTGTGTTATGTGGGTGGCTCGGCTGCCCTCCTTGCATTCAGTCCTGCTCTGGGCCCCACACGTGATTTTCCTTGACAGCACCCCCACCCCAAGCTTTGATCTCCCCATGCACCTAGGGCTACTTTCTCTGGAGTTTACAAAACCAATGCCCCCTCTTCCCATTCTGCCCTCTGGTGCCCCCAGACTCAATTGCCTCACCCATTTTGCAGAGCAATAGCTCTTCCCTCTAAAACCACACTTTGCCAAAGATCATTCATGGCTTCTGCTCAGTAATGGGCCACCCATCTCTCTCCCTTTCCCGGCACCATCCTCCCAGACATAGGTCCATCCAGGCACAAGTGGTTCAACTGATGCTTCAGCATTTTTCACTTTGCCTTCTTCCATCCCCACAGTGTTTGGGAGGGAGGGAAAAGGGAGAAGATGGAGACTGGTTTCTCTCTGCTTTGAATTATGCCACCTCCCTATGTATGAAGTTTTAAACTCCTGTTTTCTCCTCTCTGCTCTGCAAGAGTGGCTGGGAAGTCTCCTTGGTTCTCAGGAGGGTACATTGCCTTTGAGGAGTGGCAGTTTCTGGCCTGGAGGGGTTAAAGGGAAGGTCTGGGACCCATCAAGAGACAATCTTCTGTAGGCGTCATTTATTGTCTAACTACTCCATCACCACCTTCTACTCTAGAGGCCGGAAAAGTGAAATGTTCATTTCCCAGGCTCCTTTGTAGCTAAGAGTGGCCATGTGATAACTAATGGTATGTCTGCAGAAGTTGGCTGAGGGGCTTCAGGGAAGCTTTTGCTTCCTGATAAAAGGGGTCAGAAATGGCTGGCCCCTTTCCTGCCTTGAACACAGATGGGCAGTGCGGAGCTGTGGTAGTCAGCTTGCAACCTGGGGCAACAAGCCTGGTCCCTGATAGCTTTGTGGGACAGCTGAAGCAACGATGCAACCATGGCCCTGCGATTCTTATTATGTGAGAAAGAGGAAGCCTTACTTATTTAAGCCATGACTCTTGGGGTTTTTTGTTCCTTGCAGTTCAGTGTATTCCTAATGGAGTCATCATCCTTTGAAAGAGGGCAGGTAGCCTAGCTGGCCTGGGGAGATGTGTAGGGACAGCCCTGGCTTCATGGACAGCTGGCCCCTGTGGGTGTGACTTCCTATGGGGGGAAGATGATAGAGTTCCATGCCACCCAGAGAGTGGACCAGTCCTGACAGCACCTGGAGCTGGAGTGCTGGGGGAGTGGATGCTGTTGGGGGACCCTCGGTGGCTCTGGGAACCTGTACAACAGGCAGTTTGGATTGGGTGTGGCATTTGGAGTTGTCTTTTCTGGAAGGCTCACAGCTATCTGAGCTAGGCCTGACACCACTGATTCACCTGTTGATTGGGATGTGTAAGACCTGCTGCCAACAGCACCACCGTGTGGCAGAGAGAAGCAACGGCTGGCCGAGGAATCTAATCCAGGCCCCTTACCCTCTGGGAGTTGGTGGACCGAAGTGGTGGACTATTCCAGGGACTGATTTCCTGCTCACTGACAGGTGTAAGTCCAAGCTAGTTTCCCTATTCAAAGGGAATTAAAAATGTGTACCTTGAATGTGTAGATGATTTATATTGGAAGGCAGAAGTAGGGTCAGTTTTGGTATTTTCCCTCAGTTCCATTGAAAAACTAAACATGTCACCTTCTGTACAGCTGAGCTCACGAGGCTATAGACACCTTCTGAGGGAAATGGGGTGAGCTGTGAAGACCTGAAGCCTGGACCTCAGGAGGCGAGTAATAGGGCCATCTGCACCTGCTCCAGTTCTCAGTCACCACACCAGGCTTGGATGTAGGAGACCTCACAAGAGGGGTCCATCCTCGGTGACTGAGGCCCCCCAATGAGAAACGAGATAAACAGCCACCTCTTAATTTGTGGGACACATGTAGCAATTCTCATTTCACAACATCCCGTGAACGGGTCTTATTTTATGCGTATTTTGCAGATGAGAAAACTAAAGCTGAGACACGAGGAGTGGCTCGTCCAAGGTCCCACAGCTCCAAACTACTCAAAGCGTTGTCTCTTAAAGCAGCAAACTTTTATTGTCTCCCACAGCTTCTGGGGGTCAGGAACCAGGAGCACCTCTGATGGGTGGCTCTGGCTCAGGGGTTGTCGTGGGGAGTATGATCTTGTCCAAGGTCCTACTGGAGCTGGAGGACCCACTTCCAAGTTCACCCAGTGGCCGGCCGTTGGCAGGAGGCCTCAGTTCCTTGCCCGTGTGCCTCTCCATAGGGTGCTCATCATGCCTCCTGGTTTCCCCACGTGAGAGTGAAGGAGCAGGAGCAAGAGCAGGGCAAGGTGGGGGCACTTTGATGTCTTCTATAACCTAACCTCGGAAGTGACATGCCATCACTCCTGCCTCATTCTATTGGCCACCCGGACCAATCCTGGTATGGCGCTACACGGGGGTATGAGGACAGGAGGTGGGGATCACTGGGGCCATCCTGGAGGTGGGGTACCTCACAGAACCTCCTCCAGCTCCTCCAGCTTCAGCCTTTGGCCCTTAGGATAAGATTGATGGAAGTCCCCTTTGGGGTAAAGTTGCCAGAGTTAGCAAATCTATGCTAATAAAAGCCTAGGTGGTCCTCGTGCCCTCACACGACACCCTCATGTCATCACAAGATGGCCACCACAAGATGGCCAGCAGGGGAGGGCAGTTGGGGGCGATCAGGCTGGCAGGCAGAAGCGGTTAGGGGCAATCAGACAGGCAGGCAGGCAGGCGAGCGGTTAGGAGCCAGCAGTCCTGGATTGTGAGGGGGATGTTCCAGCTTGAAGAGGGTGCAGGCCGGGCTGAGAGACACCCCCCGCCCCATGCACGAATTTTGTGCACCGGGCCTCTAGTAAATATATAAAATGCACAGTTAAATTTGAATTTCAGATAAATATGAATACTTTTTTAGTTTTGCCAGGCAACCCTACTTTGGAGGAGAGGAATAGGTGACCATAAGGGGATACTCTGGGGGAAGGCTGAGATCTGGGGCTCTAGGGTAGCCCATGTGAGCTGAGGTTGATGGGCTGACCTCTGGCCTCTGTAGCTGCTGGGCCCAATTCCCCTACCCGAGTCCTCAGCTCCCCACAGGGACTCAGACAGAGTGGCCAAAGCAGAAAGAGCTGGGAAGGACATTCTGAAACATTGGTGCTCCAACCTCTGCCCAAAACCTCCTTCCCTAAGGGGTCTGGAAAAGGAGGCTCTGGGGGGCCTCAAAAGCCAAGGCTGAGGGGTTGACAGCTGTAGGAACCAGGAAGTGAGGGCACAGGAGCCCACCTGCTCTACCCCCACCTAGAGGAAGGGGAGGCAAGAAGAGGCCACTGTCTTTCTCACAGAAGGGTCCCAAAAGGCCAGCCTGAATGACATTTTCCCTGGCCCTTGAGTCAGGCCCCTATCTCCCCAAAAGTCGTCCTGACCCACCCACCAGCCAGTGTCCACTCTCAGACCTTCTTGGTGGCTCCTGTCTTGATTGAGGAGTGGGGCTTCGCCTTTCCTTGTCTCAGGAGGCACAGCTCATCTCCACCTCAGCCGTGCAGAACCAACTGGGCTCAAGTCTCAGGGCCAGGAGTCGCCTCCCTAAGAGGAGCTTGTCCTTTCTCAGGCACCCCTGTCCACACAGCTACTGCCACCCCTGAAGGCCCATCCCTTTCAGGCACAAAGCCCCACCGAAGCTGCCCGGGGAGCTGGGCCAACCCAGGCAGGGAGGCCCTTTAGATGAAACGCTTGTCTTGCTCCAGGTAGGAGAAGGGGTCCCCGGGGAAAGGCTGGGGTGGGGGCTGGTTGTAGGCCCCCTGCAGGAAGATCCAGGCCGTGCCCACCACCATGATGGGCGTCACCACAAACAGGCAGAGTCGGTCTACTGTGCGGGCTATCCGGTTCCAGCAGTCCTTCTCCTGGGGACAGGGAGGGGGGCAGAGACAGTAGGATGAGGAGGGCCCGCAGACCACAGGCCCATGCCCCAAGCTGGGGCCCAGTGACAGACGGGTGTCAGTGGGAGCCACCTCGGGCTCACAGCAGAGGGGGGCCTTCTGCATGTCCCCAAGGCCCAGGCCCTACTCTGGCCACAGGCAGGTTGGTCATTCTGTCAGTCCAGGAGACTAAGAGTGGGGCCACAGTCTTCATCCAGCCACTCAGTGCTGCTGGTAGCCCCCATGGGAACTGGAACACGGCGCCCTTTTCTCAAGAGAAAATTTTAGAAAGTTGTGTTATATTGAACAACCATAGAGGTCTGCCTTCTAAATGTCTGGCTGTGTCTATAGTATCAGTCTTGGAATTGAGCAGGGAAAGAAAATGATTGGCAGCTGGGAGAAAGAAGGGACCCTAAGGGATGTCCAGAATGTGAAGACATGTGCCTGTGCATACACCTGAGTGTGTGCCTGGCCCCGTGAGCTGTGATGGGGTTTTAGGCAGGGGCTTCCTGTCTCTGGGGGGGCCTGGGTTTTGCATTCTTTGTCAACTCCTTCATCTAAGTTGGCATGTGTCTCTGAGGGGAACTGTGGCCCCTTGAGATAGGCTACCCTTGACCAGCACACAACGTGAACACCTGTGCATGCAGCCCTGCGGCCACTCACCTCATTGTAGTTGTTCTGATCCCTCATATGGTTGACGATGAAGTTGGCCCCCTCCACAGCTGGCTTCAGCTCACTGAAGAGGTCATGCTGGGCCTTCTCGGAGCCTGCAGGGGGCTGGCCTGAGGAGACAGATCCGAGGCAGGCATGAAGCCTGCCCCCCACCCCCCACCTCCCATGGTGGGGCCAAACCCCAAGCCACTGGGACCCACGTGCTGTGGTGAGGCGCCGGGCCAGCCCGTGCCGCTCTGACTGCTTCTCGAACATGAGGTCACTTCGGGACTTGAGCGAGAAGTACTCCTCGGCCTTGGAGATGTAACCCAGGGAGCTGCTCCTCCGGACCAGGGCCCCAGGGCTGGGGCTGTCCTCCTCTGGGAGGGACATGTGTAGGAGCTTGGGCAGGGTCTCTAGGAAAAGCTGTGGCAGATCAGGGGGACACAGGAAGGCCATTTAACCAACACGGGTTACCGTCACACATCCAAACACCCGTCACTCCATTTCTGACTGCCACGAAGTGCCAGGTGGAATTTTACAGATGCACTCAATTGTGTCAAACACCACCCAGATAAGCTCTCAAACATTATCCCCAAAAGGTTCCCTCTGCCTCCCCACATCAATTCCTTCTCGACCCCAGAGGGAACCACCATCCTGACTTCTACCTCTAGCATTTGGTTTTGCCTGCCCTTGAACTTCGTGCAAAATAAATTGTGCAGTCTGTGCTCTTTTGTGCCTGGCTTCTTACAGGTAACAGTACACCTGGGAGAGTCGTCCATGCCGGCATGCGTAGCAGCAGTTGGTGTGTTTGTACTGCAGGGAGCACTTCTCCGCATGAAATAGCTCAGTGATTTTGCCCAGACACCTGTAGGGGGACCTGTGAGCTATTGGCAGCCCTCACCTTCTTGACCCCCTCAGACAGCACGTGGGTGCTGGGTGTGCGGAAGTGGATGTTGAGCACGATGACACAGATCACCACGACCATGGCCACCAGTATCATGCCAAAGAGCAGGAACCTGTGGGCACACACTCAGCCTGGAGCATCCAGGGTGTGGCAGGACATGGCATGGCATGCCAGGGTGATGTGGGGCATGGCGCGGCCTGGTGGGGTGAGGCGAGGTGGGGTGTGGTGGGGAGGAAGGGGGTTACATACTTGCCGATGAGGGGGATGGCTATGGATGTGGCCGGCAGCCGCTTGGAGATGAGCAGCAGGAAGACAGACTGTGCCAGCAACACTGAGATTGCCATTGACGTCTTCTCACCACCTGAGGGAGCCTGGACTTAGCCGTGACCGCTGGTCCCAGAGGATCCCACTGTGGACCTCGCACCATGGTTCACAATACCATGGTGGCCTAATTAGCATAATAGGCTTTGGAGCTAAAGTGACTGGAATCAAATTCTGGCTCTGACACTTACTGGCTGGGTGATCCTGGGTTTGTAGCCTAACCTCTCTGTGCCTCAGTTTTCTCAACTGTTAGATGTTGAGAGGACCAAGTGGGAGAGTATATTAAACGCTGGTCACTCCTCCTGGAACTGAGTAAGACCTCAGACACTAGCTGTCACCATTGGCCAATGCCCTGCCACTCAGCCCTCCTAAATCGCAGATCTGTGTGTGTCCCTCCTGCACAGAGAGCACCAGAGTAACACCCCAACTCCTAGCCGGGCCCTGAGCAAACCATGTGGTGGCCACTGTGGTCACGGGTCCAGGGCTCTGCCCCAGCACCCTTTTTCTACGTGCAATACACCGCTCACCCTGTCTCAAGCAGGGGCAGGGCTGGGTGGCATTTGTCTCTGGGACTCGCTGTGCCTGTTCATAGTAAATAGTCCAGAGCTGAGTAAGTGTAGGTGACACGTGCCCTTCTAGAACTGGTAAGGGGGGGTGCGCATCTCCATACCCTGGTTCTCTAGAGCTCCCATGACCCCCACCCCCATTGACTCAACCACTGATGGCCTCCTGTGTGCCAGACCCACAGCCACACATGGTGACCACGACAGACCTGACTCCTGCTCTGGCTGAGAGGCAGTCTAGGTCCTTGGAAAGTGAGAGGGAGAAGGAGGGTACAGGAGGGACCCTGTTCATTTGGGGGATGTAGGACAGGGTCAAAGAGCCCCCCTCTGGCTGGCAACATGCCCCTCATGCCTGGACCCTGGGCAGTGGTGACCCCCAAGGAGCTCCCAGGAGGAAGTGAGAGGCTGGGCTAGGTGGTCATTGCTCTGGTGACCTTGGGGGTGGGAAGAGGCTGCCTAGGCAGCCTGGGAGCTGGGCCAGCACTGAGGCCAGGTGAGAGGCTCACAGTCGGCTGGCAGGTAGAAGACCAGGTTGATCATGAAGGAGATGAGCACGCAGGGCACCAGGATGTTGATGATGTAGAAGAGTGGCTTTCGGCGAATGATGAGGTAGAAGGTAATGTCCTGGTGGTTGGGACTGTCCAGCGGGGCACTGGGGTCCATGTTGATCCTGGCTGGCCGGTGCACTATCTCCCACTCCCCGTTCTCTGAGGGCAGCACACGGACACCTTGGAGTCAGTCTGGGCAAGGGGGCTAAGGGGGGGCCTCGGGGCAGGATGAGGGGCTGGTGGAGTGAGCCACCCCCAGGGGCAGCCAGGCCTGTCTGCAGGGCTCTGAGGGGGGCATTCAGAGGAGGGCTCAGGTTTTGTTTGTGGGTCTTTCCCTAAGGATTGGGATGGAGGTTTCCATCTGCAAGGGAGAAATTTTCCTCTGGGATTAGTTTTTTTTTTTTTCTCTTTGGAAAACATGAAAGCTAAGGCCATATGTGGCTCAAATATGGAGTCTTGGGGATAACAAGGCAGTGAGAGTAAGAACCCCCTCCCCCAACGTGTGATGGATCAGCAGGACGTGGGTCTCCTCTGATGGACAGGGGTGACCCCATAAAAGATCTGAGCCTGGCCCTAGCTGGTTTGGCTGTATGGATAGAGCATCGGCCTGTGGACTGAAAGGTCCCAGGTTTGATTCTGGTCAGGGGCACATGCCTGGGTTGCGGACTTGATCCCCAGTAGGGGGCATGCAGGGGGCAGCCAATCAGTGATTCTCTATCATCATTGATGTTTCTATTTCTCTCTCCCTCTCCCTTCCTCTCTGAAATCAATAATTAATATATATATAAAAGATCTGAGGGATAGAAAGACTAAGCACCCCCTCACCTGTCAGCCACATCCATCCCCAGGGACCTGCTCAGACCCAGAGGGTCTTCTGGCCTGGGCAGAGGCGGGGGTGGGGCACGGTGCTCATCTGTCTCTGCCTTTGGAACACAGTCCCCCCAGCCGCACTTCGTTTCCTCTCAGCGTGCTGGATTAGTGTCATGTGAGTGTGTGTGTCAGGTGTGGGTGCGCAGACGTGCGTCTCGGCGGTGTCGGTGTGACTGTATGTGTATCTGTGGGGGAGGTCCTGAGAGGCCTGCCCATCTGCCCACCCGCCAGCTGCTGCTCCCAGCACCTGTGAAGCCCTCAGGGTCGATGATGATCCACTCCACCGGGTATGAGCGGCCATCTTCTTGCTCCTGCTTCAGGCTCAGGGTGATCTCCTTGGCCGTGTACTTGAGCGAACTGGGGAGGGCAGTGGTAGAGGGTGGTTCTCAGCCACTGGCTGGAGAAATGCCCTAGGGTCAGAGAGGCCATTGTGGGGGAGGGGAGCTCTAATCTGGACAGACCAGAAGCCTCTGCCTGAAGGTGGCCCCTGGCAGGGTGCCCTGGGGGGAGGGGTGGTTGGAGCAGTGGGTGCACCTGAACTTGAGGGAGCAGTTCTGCCAGTCAAAGGGGAAGTAAGTGACGGAGATGGGACAGGAAGAGCGGAAGATGGCAGGTGGCAGCCAGTACACATAGCCTGACGGATAGATCAGCACGTTGCAGGAGTAGGAAATCTTGAAGGAGCCATCATTGCTGGGGGACAGGGACAAGGGCCACAGTGAGCATGGGCCAGCTTCCAAATGGCAGGGTTGGGGGAAGCAGAGGAGGGAGGGCAGGTTGGGGCTGGAGGGGGAGGCTCAGGATATTTAAGGAAGGGGGTCGAGCGATGAGGGGAGGCCAGGGAGGGCTGCGGCTCAACTTGTTCTCCAGCACAATCTCTGGGAGCCACAGCATGTCAGGGGGCAGGCGCAGGACGCTGATGTTCCCAAAATCCTTGGCATCCCACTGCAGCCGGCTGTCTGTCCAGCCCTGGAGGCCGACAGGAATGTCAGCAGTGGGTTCTGCTATTGTCTTGGCCCCTTCACTCCTCCCAACTTCCCTGAGGGAAGACAGGGCTGTGACAAAAGAGGTTTGGGGAGGTGGGCATGGAGCGGGGACTCGGGTCTGTCATGCAGGGCTGTGTAGGATGCACACTACACAACTAAAGGAACAGTATTTCCATTGTGGATGTAGAAGACGTATGTCAATGTTATGAACTTCTGGCAGGTGGCAGAGGGTGTCTTCTAATAAAATCAGGATACTGTGACAATTTCCCACAGATGAAGAATCCCAATCCGCCCAAAGGCTCTGTCTGGGCTGGTGGCTGCACTAGGTGGGCAAGGGCAGCTGGCTGGGGTTTCTCTGCAGGCAGGAGCCAGTGCCTCCCGCAGGAAAGTGTCTGAGGCAGGCTGGGGATTCCCGAGCAGAAGTGGGCACAGGGGAGCCTAGCCCTGCACCCTCACCGAGCCCTGCTCGGAGTGGGGTGTTCTTACGTGCTCAATCCACACGTTAGTGGTGAGAGTCTCCTCGACTTCTTTCTGTAAGAAAACAGGAGGGCTGTCCCCAGGGTCCTGCACCATTCTTTCAGCTGCACGCATTCACCAGGCACCTCCTCCTGGCTGCCACCCAGGGGAATCCATGGCAATCGGCCTGGCCAAACTCCTACCCAAACACTCAGGAGTGGGTGGGCAGGCCAGGGAGCAGGGAGGACACAAGGCCTCTGAAGTGTGTCTCGGGTTGATATGGGGGACATCCCAGAGTGACAGCTGGAAGGGAGGGGTATTAGCCTGAGGGTCTGGGGGCAGCACAGGGCACAGAGAGAGGAGCTGCCACAGGCCGGCCCTAGGCCTTGAGCTTCCCTCGTGGCCATCCCAGTTCGGGAGAGAGCCAGGCCTCAAGGAAACTGTCCCTGCCCTCCAGTCCCCAGCCAAGCCATGGAGGGGCCACTCACCAGGGAAATGAGGTTGGAGAGGGTGAGGGCCAGTGAGACGTCCACGCTGTCCTCTTTGCGAGCCACGGGCCGGAGCTCCTTGTTGTAGCCCTTCTCCTTAAACAGGTACCGGATCAGCCGCTCCTCCTCATTTAGACCCCAGCAGCCTGGGGATAGTTGGGGACAGGACGGGTGCTGGGCAGGGGCCCAGGAGCAGGGCCCTGGTGGTCGGTCCTCCAGGGAGAAATGGCAGTGGGAGTGGGGAGGGGGCCGTGAGGCTGGGGGAGGGACAGGAGGGCACTGTGCTGTGGGGGAGCTGGGTGGGTGGGATGATGTCCAATCTTACCACACACAACCAGGGTGGCCAGCAGTCCCAGCGTTAACACAGGCCCCTCCATCCTGTCTCACCAACTAGGTCCTGCATCTGCTCCTCCTGTCCACTGGGCTGGGGAATGTGGGTGAGTGGCAGAGGGGACAGGTGCAGAGTGGGGGTGGAGGAGCTGAGGGAAAAGGCAGCCGGAAATGCAATCTGATACCTCTGTGCTCTGCTGGAGGGCCGAGAACCCGGGGCAGGTGTTGAGGGGGTGAGGATAGGAACTGGCTAGCAGGGCAGAAGCCCAAGGACATGAGGCAAAGATCCCGGGCTAGGAGTCTCCACAGCTAGCCATGGGGGGAGGGCTGGGGGGAGGCAATGGACACTGTGGACAGTGCTGGTCAGCCACGGATCAGGGAGTGGTGATAAGCAGATCAGCTGCCATTTCTTGGGTGGCAGACAGGTCTGCTCAGATGGGGGCTTAGCAGCCCTGTCCCCTGTCTTTGTGACTTCTGCCAACTGCTTCTGAAGGCTGGGCCTGCACGGGCCCCACTCCCAGAGAGCTGATGTCCCCCATCCAGTTTCCATCCCACAAAAGCTCCAGCATTGTCTCTGTACATCATAAATAACATTTATTAAAGCAACTGAGATTTTCTGATGACACATCTGGGAAGACACGTGGGGCCCAGGGCCCAGGACCCCCACCCCACCCCACACATCTGAGCAACTGCAGCGGTGACAGCTTGTCATTGTGCTCCCTGAACCCTCCCAGGCCCTGGGAGCAGTAGGTCCTAACCAGAGGCTGGGGGTCCAGACATGGCTCATGGCTGTCTGGCTGGAGGAACCTGAGGGCCCAGTGGGTGGTGCCCTTTCCCCCCCAGCTCCTGGCTCTGCCTTGGGCCCATCCAGGCTCCCTGGTGCTCTGCCTTGGCCTGAGCAGCCAAGCGGAAGGCCTGCAGGGCCTGCGCCAGCAACCGGGGAAGGCTTCGAGCCAGTGTGGCTGGCTCCAGGCCCACCAGGCCCCCAAAGACCACATGCCGGTCCCCCAAGCCAGCTCGAACCCAGGCTCGGAAGAGCCCTGTTATCGTCTTGGAGCTCAGATCGGCCAGGACCTGCAGAGGGAGGAGGGTGCTCAGGGGCTCCAATGCTACTCTTGGTCCCCTCCTCCTGGCCCCCCAAACTCTCACCCAAACCCACCCCCTTCCTTTCAACCCCACAATCCTGCACACTTTCTGCTCACATGGACACCCCCTAAGCCCCTCTACTCACCTCTTCCCTCTCCCGCCCACACCTTCATACCCACCCAGTACCCTAGCTCACACACAGCTGCCCTCCCCCCTTCCTCTTGTATTCCGACCCCCCAGGCTGTGGTGGTGAAGATCCTCCCTCCCTGCTGCTGGGGAGGGTGCCCGTTCTGTCCCCCTATCAGAGCTGACCCAGGTCTGCCCTCAGAGGTCACCGAGGAGGAGTCTGGGAAGCCTAGAGACCGACCTCCTGGAAGTCCATGGCCAGGCGCTCTGGGGGGACCTGAAGGATCCAGGCATGGGTGTCCTGGAGGGCGGCCAACTTCTGCCGCAGGGGCTCCAGGCCAGGGCAGTCTGCAGGAGAGACAGCAGCACGGAGCTGGCATGGGCTCCCACCAGTACCTCAGGACCACCTCCCATGCTACAGATGGGGAAACTGAGGCTTAGAGAGGTTAAGTGTTAACAAAGTCGATTTTCTGACACTGATGAGGGCCCAAAGCCACAAGTAGCCCCAAAGGGTCAGTCCCCCGTTTCAGGGGAGGAGTAGAGCAGGTCTGCTGGTTGCCGCGGGGTAACTGCTTCCCCGTGCAGATTTCCAGGAGAATCCCCTCCGGGCCTCCGCTAGCTCTCGGCCTACTCCCCCGGCGACGGTCGGCAGGGGGCGTAATTACCGCGCGTGTCTCCGCGCTGCTCTGGCCTCCGCTTCGGGAATCCGGTCCCTGCAGCCGGGGATCCTGGGAAGACGCAGGATTAGGGGAAAGCCTCTGCCGCCCAGGGGTGGGGCCCGGGCTGGGCTGCCAGGGCTCGGGGTACCTGGGTGCAGCCGCTGCTCGCGGGCGCGGTGCCTAGGAGTCTCCCGGAGCGACGGAGCGGGGCGAGCCGGGGCCGGGGCCTGGCGCCGCATCCCCGGGCTCGGGCCGAACAGCTCCTGGGCGCCCCGCAGCAGCTCCAGCAGCGTGTGCGCCAGCAAGCGCAGCTCTGCGGCCGGGACAAGGGTGCGGATGGTGATCAGACGTGGGCGAGGCTCCCTGCTCCCCGGCCCAGCACGGGGAACCGGACTGACCGCATCGTCGTCTGCGCTGCAGGCATTGCTGGATGCCGCTAGGGGACGCACAGGCCGCCCTTGGGTCCTGGTCACAGGGCGGGGCATAGAAGCCGCAAGGCTGGGGCCGCGTCCGGCGGTGGGCTGCATCGGGGGGCTCCCAGGCCA